CCATCCTTTCCTCCTTCCCTCCCTTGTAAGCACTTGTCACGTTGTTTATGCTTATTATATTTTTATAGCAGAAAGCAGTATATTTACTCTTTCTTAACCTCTGTTATGTTGAAAAATAACACAGGTTAATCTTTTGTTGAAGAATCTTGATGGTGTTGGGGGCGGGAGGGACACAGGGCACTGAGTTCCCGGGTTTCTGAGCCCGCCTGTAGGGTCACTTTCTGCTTCTTCTGTTAATGCAGCATTTTCACTTGGTCTCTCAGGGGTTGTGGTCCAGCAGCGTCTCAGCGCGGTCTTTGGAGATGTATGCCCCCTACTCAGGTCTCTCTTGGATGGGTGAGTTAGAATATCGTTAAGGCCAGTCGTCATAGTCACATTTAAATATAAATACGCTTCATCGTGCTGTGGAGTGAGAAGGTAGCGTTGGAGTCTGAGCATTTTACAGGACCGCAGAGCACGCCCACGGTCACCCAGCGTGGACACCACCTGCATCCCTGGAGACTATTTCTGCACCCTAGGAAAAGGGGTGAGAATGAGTTGGAGAATGCTGGTTAACTGAGTCTATCTACCTGGGATTCCAGACTCCACCGTAGTCACATTGCATGTGGCTTCAGCCCTGATAGCAGCCGCCATTCCCTCTGGGACTCTTTTACGTTTCAGAATTTTAAAAAAATCTATAAGAATGTCAACGTCAGACCTAGGCACTTTTCCCTTTGGGAACCTGCTTTCTGATCTTGCAATACACAACTACTGACGTCAAAGGCAGTGGATCGGAATTCAGGGATGATGAATTTTTTTTACTTCATGGAGACACCTTAAGCCAAGACTTCCTACTCCTGGGCCTTTGGAAGGATCTCCATAAAGTTCCTGACGAAGACTGACTTGACTCGAAATTCGTCCAGCAAAGGCTTCTGCACAGCCATGCTCAAGGAACTAGACACTCTAATTATAGTGTGCCGTGCACCCCGAAGGCACATGATCCGACGAGTAGGGTGGGCTCAGGAAGCTGCTGTGTGGGACTGTGCACGCTGGCGGGGCCGCTCTCCAATCAGGACACAGCTGCTGCTTCGGCTCCTCCCCCAGAGGCTGGCACTCCACACCCATCTGAAAAAACGCTTTTGAAAATGATAGGGTAGTCTCCGTTTAAGTAGGCATCTTTTAAGTAAGCAGATTTCTGAAATAAAAAACGCATCGTGGTTAGAGTGATCACTGCCAGAGCTGCCTTTCCAGGATAACACGAAACAGATGGAGTTATTTTAAGTCCCGAGTTTTGTCGGTGAAAAGAGTCAAACTCTGTAAAATATTGGGAGAGATTTACTCTGAGCCAAACATGAGTGACCATGGCCCGTGACACAGCCCTCGGGAGGCCCCGAGAACATGTGCCCAAGGTGGTCGGGCGCAGCTTGGTTTTACACGTTTTAGGGAGACGTGAGACGTCAGTCAAATTCATTTAAGAAATGCATCGCTTGGGGCCTCTGGTTAAAGCAAAGGATTGTGGAGACCAAAGTTCTCCGTTGCAGAGGAAGCCTTCAGGTTTGGCGAGAGCAGGTGGTCAGCGTTTCTTATCCGACATCAGGCCGGTGTTGATGTCAGTGCCGGAAGGTGTGGTGAGGCCTGTCCGGTCCCCACTTCCCATCACGGGCCCAACCGGACTCCGAGTTAAATTTTAGAGTGCTCTGGTCGAGAAGGAAGCCCATGCAGATGGCTGGGGGCCTTAGAATTTTATTTTTGGTTTACAGCCTCCTTCTTCAGGACCGTTTCCTTTCCCTCTACATCCCCAAATGGTTTGAAAGACCCCAAGAAGAACCCGTTTATCTGTTATCGCCAAAGATAATCTCCACACTAAGAAAGGCACATAAATGAACTCAGGGAAGCTGGAAGAGACAGGGAATGTAGTGGGGTTTTGTTATGAATGCCTTGAGATTTTTTAATTCTGGAAGGAACACTCCGGACTGGTAACGGAGAGGCCTGATCAGCTTTGCGGGAGCGTGAGGCTTCCAGGCTCTTGTTGCTACACTCGAACGGTCAGCCCAGGACCGGCCTCTGCTGCTTTTCTGTCCTGCTCTAGGGGCGATTTAGATGTCAGTCAGAACACTGCCTTGTAACTATTTTATCAAAACAACAGCCTTTATTTGTTTGTGTTAGTAAATCACACTTACTATATATAATGTATGTTAAGTGAGATAAAAATTTACACATTTTCTTTTGATATTCTGAAAGTATTTTCCTTTGACATATGTAATTGAGTACTAACATCATTAACTATGGTCATACGTAAGACGGTAACATATTATTTCAATATAGAGATGGGGTTCCCACTATGTTGCCCAGGCTGGTCTCAAACTCCTGGGCTCAAGGGATCCTCCTCCTTTATCCTCCTGAAGTGCTGGGATTATAAGCACAAGCCATTTTTGTCTACGTTTTCATACAAAAAACATTGTTGTACTTTGCTATGCGGAGGGACTTGGAGCTTTTCCTGTCCATAGTCAGTTCACTTGTGCTGAAGTCGGAGTCACAGCTGACCAGTTCAGTCAGAACTTCTGAGTGTACGACCTGCTTCATCTCCCCAGGTGAGTTGGACGGGTGGTCAGGGCTGGACATCCTGCTCTGAGGCACCGACCCACTTAGCATCAGGCCAGGTGGACCCACCACACCATATGGTAACTGCGATTTTAGGAAGATGTGCTTGCATTGGGCAGCTCTGATGCTGCATTGACAGTTACAGTGAAGCCAGGTACTGTGGCTCACGCCTGGAATCCCAGCACTTTGGGAGGCTGAGGCAGGAGGATCACCTGAGGTCAGGAGTTCCAGACCAGCCTGGTCAACATGGTGAAACACCATCTCTACTAAAAATACAAAAATTAGCTGATTGTGGTGGTGCACGCCTGTGATCCCAGCTACTCAGGAGGCTGAGACAGGAGAATCACTTGAACCCGGGAGGCAGAGTTTGCATTGAGCTGAGATCACCACTGCACTCCAGCCTCGGTGACAGAGTGAGACTCTATCTCAAAAAAAAAAAAAAAAAAAAAAGAAAGAAAGAAAAAGAAAAAGAAAGTTAAGGTGTAGGTGTGGGGCCTTGCTAAGGTCAGAATCCTGATGTGAATGCTGAGCCATCGAACAGGGAGGTGAAAATGCACGGGAGAAACCGGGATGGAGGGACCCATGTTGCCTGGTCCGTGCAAACACCCTTTAATCCAATGTTGTACAACAGGAGAGCAACACCAATGGATTACGCAAAAAATAGTTATAGTCCAATGAAAGCCTAATTTATAAGAAATGGAGTAGCAGGGGAATAGGAAATGAAACTTACCGCATTTCTTGTACAAGTAAAAATGTTTCCTGGAATCTTCTTGGCACCAGCCTCAGGTGTGTCTTGCTGACTAAATCTGCTCTGAATTTTAGGTGCAAAGTTTGTGTTATGGCATATGGAGAGACGGGCAGCGGGAAGACCTACCCCATGCTGGGATCCCATTCGGACGATAACCCTGTCCTGCTGCTCCTCCCACAGAGGGACTTAGGAATTATCCCCAGAGCGGCTGAGGAGCTCTTCAGGTACCACTGATGGTGATGAGTGGGGCAGAGAACTATGGCATGGAAGCCAGGCAGGCAGCACACTGGTTATCACGTGGGAAAAATTATTGCCATTTGAAGAAGCTGATCAAACCCCATAATCTCCCCAGATACATTCAACCCTACCAAGTACTTCCAGACTTCTGGGCATTATTGCTACAAATTCCTATGATGAAATTCTGTTGAAATGCTATCATGAAGACAAAACTTTTTTTATTTTTCAATTTTTTTGGAGACAAGGTCTCACTTTGTTGCCCAGGTTAGAGTGCAGTGGCACGATTTTGGCTCACTGCAACCCCCGCCTCCTGGGTTCAAGCGATTCTCCTGCCTCAGCCTCCCGGGTAGCTGGGATTATAGGTGTATGTGACCACACCCAGCTAATTTTTGTATTTTTAGTGGAGATGGGGTTTCACCATGTTGACCAGGCTAGTCTCGAACTCCTGACATCAGGTGATCCACCCACTTTGGCTTCCCAGAGTGCTGGGATTACAGGCGTACGCCACTGTGCCTGGCCAAGGCAAAACTTCTTGAAAGAGATCCCAAGATGGTGGGGATGGTGGGGGATGGTGGGAGATGGTGGGGGATAGTGGGGGATAGTGGGGGATGGTGGGGATGGTGGGGGATGGTGGGGGATAGTGGGGGGGTGGTGGGGGATGGTGGGGATGGTGGGGTGGTGGGGTGGTGGGGATGGTGGGGATGGTGGGGGATGGGGATGGTGGGGATGGTGGGGATGGTGGGGGATGGTGGGGATAGTGGGGGATGGTGGGGATGGTGGGGATGGTGGGGGATGGTGGGGGATGGTGGGGATGGAGGTTTTCTGTCCTGAAATGGGAAGCACAGAGTGAAAATTCCTGTCCTCTGGTTGCCTTTCCCCTCCCCCATCAAGAGTCTACACATCCACTTGTCTTTAGGGTCCAGCCAACATGGCCTGTGAGGAGGCTCAAGGCCCGTTAGCACATTCCTAAAAGAGACTCACTGCCGGTGTCATAGTTTCACCAACAAAATTAGTCCTAGAGAAAAAAGAGCAAAAGGTCGTCTCAGCAGTCCAGAGGCGTGGGAAAGCCTGAATGTCCTCAGGATCTCATCCCCGGGGTGGGGGCCTCCTGCCTTTGGTGGAGATGTGGCAGAGTGTTCACGCTCACGCGTGTGTGTGTATCCTGCACTGCAGGGTGGCGGCTTTCTTGGTGGCATGTCCCCTGAAGCGGTCAGCCCCTCAGAGCAGCACGCTGGTGGTGGAGCCCACTGGCCCTTCCTGCCCACATCCTCCAAGATTCGATTCTTGTCTCTTGTGTGTCCTCGAATGGCCCGTTCACATCTGAAAACTAGGGCCAGACCAAGACGTGGGAGCTTCCGCTATAGCTAATACCTCAGTGCCTCTTCAAACCAATACTCGTTAAGTATTTGTGCACAGAAACCAATGCATGTGTGAATCTGCCTTCGCTGTTTCCGGTTCTCAGCTCCCGTGCCCAGGAGACACTGGCTCGGAGGGAGAGACTGTGTGTAGGAACAGACCTTCGGTGAAAAGGCCATGTGGAGTGCAGGCCTGTGCGTTCTCTGGGGCGGGGTCCACACGCCCACGTGTACCCATCCCGCTGGGGAATGCCACGCATCAGTCCTGCCCACTTGTCGTGTGGCCACATCTGGGTTCCACCCATGCCTGGAGCCACAGGGTCGTGAAATTGGTGCGAGCTGGTGGAGCAAGACATCTTGAGGGCGCGAGCTGGTGGAGCAAGACATCTGCCACAGCGACACAGCCCACCACTGACACAGGCCACCATGGACACAGCCCACCACAGAACATGGCCCACCACAGACACACAGCCCACCATGGAGAGAGCCCGCCACGGACACAGGCCACCACGGACACAGCCCACCACAGACACACAGCCCACTGAGGACACAGCCCACCATGGACACAGCCCACCACAGACACACAGCCCACCGTGGACACACAGCCTACTGTGGAACACAGCCCACCATGGACACAGCCCACCATGGACACACAGCCCACCGCGGACACAGCCCACCGTGGACACACAGCCCACTGCGGACACACAGCCCACTGCGGAACACACAGACCACCATGGACACAGCCCGCCGCAGACACACAGCCCACTGGGGATACACAGTCCACTGCAGACATAGCCCACCATGGACACACAGCCCACCACGGACACACAGCCCACCGCTGACACACAGCCCACCGCAGACACACAGTCCACTGCGGACACAGCCCACTGTGGACACACAGACCACCACGGACACGCAGACCACTGTGGACACAGCCCACCACGGACACACAGGCTACCGTGGACACACAGCCCACTGCGGACACACAGCCCACCACGGACACACAGCCAAGGGCTATTAACTTAGGCAACCAAGCCCTGTCTTGGGTGCTGCACTGTGTGATGTGTTTGATTCAGTTTCAGAATTTCATGACCCTGTGGCTCCAGGCATGGGTCACAGACATGCTGGGCAGTGCCAGGTTGCTGCTGGGGATGTCACTTTCCATTTCTTCTCGGGTCCCTTCTCCAGGGAAAGGATCTTCACTAGGGGGTGATGGCCCCCATTAGCTGGGAGCCTGAGGGTCAGCCCATTGGGACCGCTGGTGGCTTTCCCAGCCTCATTTGGAAAGGGGGACGCTGGAGAACAGGGCGTGGAGGAGGGAATCCTGGAGAAAGGCTCTCCCTGGACAAGGCTGTCCCCCTCCCCTGAGGCCCTGGCTGCCCTGCACGGCCGTCCTCACTCACACACGCACCCAACACACTGGACACCCTGCTCTGTGCACCCCTAAACTCAGCATCCACACTGACAATGCGACAGCTGTCCAAATTAGTGGGGAAAGTCAGCTTGCACGGATGGTGCGTGTCAGGAAATATTCATCCTTCCTTCTGCTAAGCAAACTCTTGAGGGCCCAGAAACAAAGTCTCAGGCAAGAGTGCTCAGAACCGAGGTAGAAAGCGGGAGAGAAATGTGGGAGTCTAGAGACGCCCTCCAACTCCCACCCCAATGCGTTTCTTTTCGTCTGTGACAGCGGGCACACCATGGTGGGGGGGAGATGTGGCATGGCAGCGCGTCCTGGAGGCCGGCTTCGTCACGTTGCCAGTGGGCGCTGCGTGCGTACTTCCAGGGTCGTATCACCCTCAGCCGGGCATAGAGACACACATTGCAAGGCCATCAGAGCAGGCGTCTTACATCCCATGGCTGCCATTTCCATGTAGCTCTAGAATTTACTAGAAAGCACATCTGGGACAGCAGAGGGCTACTGAGGTGGAGAAGGGCTGTTAGCTGCCTACAAATGCTAGGCAAGATCCATCGGGAAGACGGCCGGGCGGCTGGGCCTCCCCAAAAACAGCTCATCACCATTACCAACGGGCCAGGCGGCTGGGCCTCCCTAGAAACAGCTCATCACCATTACCAATGGGCCAGGCGGCTGGGCCTCTCCAGAAACGGCTCATCAGCATTGCCAATGGGCCAGGCGGCTGGGCCCCTCCAGAAACGGCTCATCAGCATTGCCAACGGGCCAGGCGGCTGGGCCTCTCCAGAAACAGCTCATCACCATTACCAACGGGCCAGGCGGCTGGGCCTCCCTAGAAACAGCTCATCAGCATTGCCAACGGGCCAGGCGGCTGGGCCTCCCCAAAAACGGCTCATCAGCATTGCCAATGGGCCAGGCAGCTGGGCCCCTCCAGAAACGGCTCATCACCATTACCAACGGGCCAGGCGGCTGGGCCCCTCCAGAAACGGCTCATCAGCATTACCAATGGGCCAGTGGCATTACTGGCCAGTGCTTCAGTGCCCATTTCTAAAATGGTTTTTCTGTTTTGCTGTTCTGAGTTGTGGTGCTGAGTGCCTCCCACCATGGCACAGTGATTTGCAGGGCTGGAATTCCTGCATCCGAGTCTCCGTCTTTGTTCTTCTGAGTGAGTGGCCCTGGGCAAGGCCCTGACCTCCCAAAACCTCACTTTCATTGTTTGCAGAAGTGAGAATTAGGGCAGACGTGGACCCACATGAGACCCAGAGAGGGGTGCGCTGGGCCAAGGCCAGGGGTGAGCTTGGGTGTTTGTGAATCAAAGTGCAAACAGCTCCCCGCCCAAAATTATACAAAACCACAGTGACATCGGTGCTGTCAAGAACCCTTCACCCTGAAAACGACTGCTCTTAGGTTGCTGAAGTCACCAGAGAAGGCCTTTCCTGTTGTTTTAAAGTAAATACGGTGCCGCTGCCAGGGTTCCTGGGCTCTGCATGCCATCTCCTTCCGTCTACACCTGGGTGTTGACACCACGCTCTAACTGACTGGTCTCCACTGTCCGCCTCATCAACAGGAGTGAGCTATGTTCCTCCGCCTGCCACGCACCGGCAAAGGCACTGGGGACCCAAAAGTGCATGTGATCAATTTTATGCTCTTAAAGAGTCGTCTAGAGTGGTCATTACGACCCAGCAGGAAATGCGCAGGAGCAGGGGATGGAGGCAATGTATGGCCCCGCCTCGACTTCCCTCCCTGGAAGTCAGGGGAGCCGCTGTGTTTGCGTCACACGGTTCTCGCACAGCCTGGAGTCCTGTGCGTGTGTGCCTGGCCTGCTGGGCGCTTTGCTTCTTCAAGGCTAAGATTGAAGCTTGTGGTTTTCACCATTGTCCCCAGAATCTAGTCAGCAGCCCAGTACTTATTGGTGGGGAACCTTTTGAATTAACTCCTCAGTATTACATAGCTGAGAAATTGCTAACTTAGGTTTTGTGACACTCAAAGAGACAAACTGTCACATAAGAGGATGGACCCAAGTGCTGACGTTCGGTTTCCGGGTGTGTGGTACATTTTGCCTAACGTGTGGAGAGGAGAGGAACGTAAAATCTCCGCTTAGGCCTGGCACGGTGGCTCACTCCTGTAATCCCAGAACTTTAGGAGGCTAGGCAGGTGGGTCACCTGAGGTCAGGAGTTTGAGACCAGCCTGGCCAACATGGCAAAACCCTGTCTCTACTGATAATACAAGAATAAGCCAGGCATGGTGGCACACACCTGTAATCCCAGCTACTCAGGAAGCTGAGGCAGGAGAATCAATTGAACCTGGGAGGCAGAGGTTGCAGTGAGCCGAGATCACACTGTCCTACAGCCTGGGTGACAGAGCAAGACTCAAAAATAGATAAATAAATAAAAAGTAAAATAAAATCTCTAGCTTAGCTGACTGCATTTTTCACGGTTGCACACGCTCTTCTTAGAATGTTCTCAGCAAACCCCTGTGCTGAGCCTGTGTGATACAAATCTTGATGCTTTTCCAGTCATGATTTTTACCTGAGGGTTTGACTTTGTCTTTCATGTTAGTCTTCATGTTTTCTTTACTGTTTATCATTCGAAGACAAAAACCCTCTAGATCTGGATGAAAAGCTCAGCCTGGCAGCGCCTGAGTGGGAAATATCCCTGCTGGATTTTCCCTGGGTCCACATAGCATCCTGTCCCCTGGGGCTTCCCGCCCATTCTCAGAATAGCCTTAGGAACAGGAAGAGCACAGGGCTCACTGTCAGACTGCCTTCGCTGTGCAGGTGGTAGAGAGGTGGTCACTTCCAGCAGACCAGAAGAGGCCTTTGTTCCTTGCTGACAAGGTCGGGAGGGGAGTTTTGTCAAAGAGACAAAACAGAAAGGCCGTGGGAGGAGAGAGGGTAGGGAGGGAGGCTAGGGTCAGCGCTCAGCTTTTTCTTGTTGTGGGATTTGGTTTTATTTCTCTCTCTCTCTCTCTAAGTGTAGTATCTTTATTTAAAAACACTCCTGCAGTCAGCATGTAGTTCTTTAAAACATGGAGCAAAATAAGACGTGCAGCTGCTTTTTAAAGAGCCTGAACTGGTTTTACGGGTCTCGCAGGAGGGTCTCAGGTGGAAGGTACAAGTGGAGTTGAAATAAAGAACTCTGGACTCAAGCTTCCCTGAAGTGGAAAACGTTTTAAAATAAACAAACCCCATCACTGGGAAGGACTAGAGGCCCAAACGTCTCTGCAGCTTGCCTTGCGTCTCTGTGGGTCTTCAGTGCACTGGCTGCAAAGGTGCTGGTTTAAATATAACTCTGATAAAATAACTGTTCCCAAGACACATATTCACCCTACAACCTACATAGCACACCCCTCTCCCCAGGTGATCTTGGGGTGAGTGACATGCAGCCTCCTGCTCGGACCCCAGCATTTTACTGAGCATCCTCTAGGGCATGTGGGGCTATGATTGGCTTACACTGAAAATCACGCCGTGAGACTTTCCGTAAGTTTCTCTGTGTGTTTCCCTCCAGGCTTATTTCGGAAAATCCCTCAAGAATCTCAAAGGTTGGAGTCTCCATCATGGAAGTTTACAATAAAGATGTTTTTGATCCTCTGGCCAAAGACAGCGTTGCAGCTGTGTCAGGGGTCAAGCGTGAGGTGATGACAGCCAAGGACAGCCGGATAGAGGTCGTGCTGCTGGTCTCTGAGTGGGAATGGCACCTGCCTCGTGCTGCTGGTCTCTGACCGGGAACCGCACCTGCCTCGTGCTGCTGACTTCTGAGTGGGAACGGCACCTGCCTCCTGCTGCTGGCCTCTGACCAGGAACGGCACCTGCCTTATACTGCTGGTGTCTGACCGGGAACGGCACCTGCCTCATGGTCAGGAGGCTGCACATCTCTCCATGAGCTCCCCACGCCCGAAGGTCCTGAGTAGAATCAGTGTGGTGGCCCCATCAGTGCTCCTTGTCAGTGAATGGTTCCTTATGTGTCTTCGTGCTTTGTATGTGTTGCACAACTCTCAATTTGTTGCAGGAATGATCTTTCTTTAAAGGCGGCTACGTCGGGGTGACATATGTTAATTAGCTGGAATGGGTGAACATTTCACAATGTATACATATAGCAAAATATCAAGGTGTATGCCTTAAATAGATACAGTTCTCATTTGTCATTAATATCTTAAAGCTGTTAGAGATAAAAGTAAAATAGAGGGAGAGAGATCCAAGATGGCTGAGCACTAGCAGCTCGGGATTGTAGCTCCCAGTGAAAGCGCAGAGAACGAGAGGACACCACACTTTCAGATGAATTCTTGTTGCTCACGCACCAGGAGATTCCCAGCAGAGGAGCCCCCCGGGTCACCAGCGCGACTTTTGTGACCGGTGAGGTGGTTTTGCCGCTGCCTTGGTGCGGCGGTTCTTGGTGCAGAGTCAGAAAAGCACCATCAATCTTAAACGCCGCTGATTTAGTTGGCGCAGTGGGTTGCTCAGATTCCAGCACTGGGAATCAACAAGTTGGACGTCCACTCAGAAACCCAATTACAAAGACGGTAATTATAAAGACCACAGATGGATAAATCTACAACGAAGGGAAGAAAACAGCCAAAAAAGGCTGAGAATACCCAAGATCAGGATGCCTCTCCCTCAGCAGAGGATCCCAGTTCCTCATCAGCAACGGAACAAGACCTAATGGAGAAGGAATGCGTTCCATTAACAGGCTTCAAAATGTGGATGATAAGAAACTTCTGTGAATTAAAAGAACTTGTTCTAACCCAATGCAAAGAAACTAAGAACTTTGAAAAAAGGTTTGACGAAATGTTAACAAGAATACACAATTTAGAGAGGAAAATAAGTGAATTGATGGAGCTGAAAAACACAATACGAGAACTACGTGAAGTATGCACGAGTTTTAACAGCCGAATTGATCAAGCAGAAGAAAGGATATCAGAGGTCGAAGACCAACTTAATGAAATAAAACGAGAAGACAAGATTAGAGAAAAAAGGATAAAAAGGAACGAGCAAAGTCTCCAAGAAAATGGGACTATGTGAAAACACCTAATCTACGCTTGATAGGTGTACCTGAATGTGACGAAGAGAATGAATCCAAGCTGGAAAATATGCTTCAGGATATTATTCAGGAAAATTTTCCCAACCTAGCAAGGCAGGACAATATTCAACTCCAGGTAACACAGAGAACACCACAAAGACATTCCTCAAGAAAAGCAACCCCAAGGCACAGAATCGTCAGATTCACCAGGATTGAAATGAAGGAGAAAATACTAAGGGCAGCCAGAGAGAAAGGTCAGGTTACCCACAAAGGGAAGCCTATCAGACTTACAGCAGATCTCTCAGCAGAAACCCTACAAGCCAGAAGAGAGTGGGGGTCAATATTCAACATCATTAAAGAAAAGAACTTTCAACCAAGAATTTCACATCCAGCCAAACTAAGCTTCATAAGAGAAGGAAAAATAAAATCTTTTGTGGACAAGCAAGCACTCAGAGATTTCATCACCACCAGGCCTGCTTTACAAGAGCTTCTGAAAGAACCACTACACATAGAAAGGAACGATCAGTATCAGCCTTTCTAAAAAATACCAAAAAGTAAAGAGCATCAATATAATCAAGAATTTACATCAACTAGTGGGCAAAACAGCCAGCTAACATTAAATGGCAGCATTAAACTCACATATATTATTAATAATTCTAAATTTAAATCGACTAGATCCCCCAATCCAAAGACACAGACAGGCAAATTGGTTAAAAAGCCAAAGCCCTTCGGTATGCTGCATCCAGACCCATCTCATGTGCAAGGATACCCAAAGACTCAAAACAAAGGGATGGAGAAAGATTTACCAACCAAATGGAGAGCAAACATAAATAAACAAAAAGCAGGAGTTGCAATTTTTGCCTCTGATAAGATAGTCTTTAAAGCAACAAAGATCAAAAGAAGCAAAGAAGGACATTATATAAGGATAAAAGGATCAATGCAACAAGAAGAGCTGAAGATCCTAAATATATACGCACCCAATACCCGAATACCCAGATACATAAGACTTATAAAGAGACTTGGACTCCCACACAATAACAGGGGGAGACTTCAACATCAATATTAGACAGATCAATGAGACAGAAAATTAACAACGATATCCAGGACTTGAACTCAGATCTGGAACAAGTAAGATTAATTAACATTTATAGAACTCTCCACTTTAAATACACAAGATATACGCTCTTATCAGTACCACACAACACCTACTTACCGGTTTCAATGAAATACTGGTTGGCTGCTTGTTTGTTATTTTCTTCCCTCATTTTTTTCATGACTTTATTATTAAGCACAGTTATAGGCAGACCCATTTTTAGACTGCATTCTAGCCCAGGCAATAAACCCTGTTCTCTCTCCCTCTTCCTCTTTCTCTTTCTTCCTCGTCTTTATTCTTTTTTTTTTTTAATTTTATTACTCTTTTTCTTTCTTTATTTCTTTTTTTTAAAAAAGGTAGAACAGAAAAAATATTTTTTACATTGGAAATTAAACTAAACAAATGAATGTATCTTTTTTGGTTCGTTTGTTTTTTGAGACAGAGTTTTGCTCTTACTGCCCTAGCTGGAGTGCAATGGTGCAGTCTTGGCTCACCGCCACCTCTGCCTCCTGGGTTAAAGCAATTCTCCTGCCTCAGCCTCCCGAGTAGCTGGGATTACAGTCATACCCCACCATGCCTGACTAATTGTGTATTTTTAGTAGAGATAGGGTTTCTTCATGTTTGTCAGGCCGGTCTTGAACTCCCGACCTCACTTGATCTGCCCGCCTTGGCCTCCCAAAGTGTTGGAATTACTGCATGAGCCACCGCACCTGGCCACAAACAAATGCATGTTTAAAAAAATCTTCATAAGAGCCTATCAGATGTGTGTCATGCCATCTGACAGATGAGGAAGCAGGCTTGTGGAAGTGAAAGAATGTGCCACACCACTCAGGCTAGGAGAGATGAGCTCGTTGGCGTTTGTAAATATCAGTAATTTTCTAGAATATGATAATGAATCACTTGTAAAAGTGAGGATCCCCATATTAAGTATTTTCCTCAAAATTCCCTATTTTTAAATCCACACACATGTGCTGGGTTTGCCCCAGTGGGGACGCAGCTGGGTGGTGACAGAGGGAACCCTCGCCACCAGTGAGGGCCTGCACAGGCTGTCCGTCCTTGACCCGAGGCAGAAAGGGGAGGGCCTGCTGGCCATGCTGGTGCTGAAGGAAATCATCCATGCAATGCTCATACGGTTACACAAAGTCACTCAAACTTTGAGGCTTTAACTGGCAGACTGGGGTGGGAATGTTATCTCCTGCTGATTAAGAGCTCTGATTGGCCAGGTGCAGTGGCTCATGCCTGTAATCCCAGCACTTTGGGAGGCCGAGGTGGGCAGATCACCAGATCAAGAGATGGAGATCTTGATCCTGGCCAACCTGGTGAAACACTGTCTCTACCAAAAATACAAAAATTAGCTGAGCATGGTGGCATGCACCTGTAGTCTCAGCTACTCGGGAGGCTGAGGCAGGAGAATCACTTGAACCTGGCAGGCTGAGGTTGCAGTGAGCCAAGATCGTGCCACTGCACGCCAGGCTGGCGACGGAGCAAGACTCTACCTAAAAAAATAAGAAAAAAAGGAGCTCTAATCAGCAGGCTTAGCTCATCTCCCTCCATGGGGAAACTGGCTAAACCTTTATTTTGTAGATCAGATTTGATGCAGAAAATATTTGAAAACATTGTTTCTGGAGGCTATAATGAAGGAATAGTTGATGTTGGAAAGGTTAGCAACCTCTGATTTTGTTCCAAAACAGTTCATTATTTCAGGGTAAGCAATTAGAGATGTAACAGGCTGGTTAGGCCTCAGAAGGAAAAAGTTTGCTATGTTTTATTGTGCCCAAGGCTGGCTTTAGCCCCCATCAGCGCGCATGGCCCATGTGAGACACTTCCCTGAGCCGAGGAGGATCAGAAGTTGCCTTGGGTCGGGGGGCGCCTGCACGGTGTTCTCCACTGCTTGCCGCATCTGCAGGGGGGGTGGCAGCACCTTGAGACTGGTGGAGCTCGTTAGTGGAGGTCTGCAGCTCAGGGCGAAGCACGCCACCCTGGTGCACGTGGATTCTTCCCAGTCTCACCTGATAATTACAATGACTCTCACCACAGTCACCTGCTCTGACAGCACCAGTAGGTCACCATCTGTGCTTGGGCAGCAGCAAGTAAAAGAAAAACCCACTTACGAGGAAAACATCAGGCCGGGGGCAGTGGCTCACGCCTGTAATCCTAGTACTTTGGGATGCTGAGGCGGGTGGATCACCTGAGGTCAAGAGTTCAAGACCAGCCTGGCCAACATGGTGAAACCCTGTCTCTAATAAAAATACAAAAATTAGCGGAGTGTGGTGGCGCATGCCTGTAATCCCAGCTACTTGGGAAGCTGAGGCAGGAGAATCGCTTGAACCCAGGAGGCAGAGGTTGCTGTGAGCTGAGATTTGCGCCATTGCACTCCAGCCTGGGCAACGGAGCAAAAACTCTGTCCCAAAAAGAAAAAAGAAAAAGAAAAAAGAAAAATCAGCATGCCTGCAGCACCCAAGGCCTCTCCTGGAACCCAGGATGGGAATAGCAGCCACACCTTTTCACAATTGGAAGCCCAGACCCAAAAGCCCACTGGCATCCGAGGCTGAGCAGAAAAACTGAGGGTTGGAGGGAGGAAAACCTCCTGCTAAATAAAATACAACGCAGAAAGAAAAGCAGGGCATGCATACGCCTTGGAGTACGTGCATTGTCATAGAAGAAACAATGAGAGTGATTTCAGTTGCAAACTAAAGTTACAAACTCTGTAGTAGATCAAATGGTTCCAGTTACGTAACAAAAAGAGCACACGCTGTGAAGGTCTGTGGCATCCGGGCTGCGGCTCTCAGACCGGAGCTGCATTCAGTCCTCTGCAGGATGGTGGGACCTAATGGCAGACACCACGCACCACCCATGCTCAGGATCAGCAGGGCTGGGACTGAAATGTGTGTTTCCACAAGGGCACGGCTCTGGGAACCACACCTTGAGAGCCACGGGTCTGGGAACCACATCTGGAGAGCCACGGGTCTGGGGAACTACACCTGGAGAGCCATGGTGCTGGGGACCACATCTGGGGAGCCATGGGTCTGGGGACCACACCTGGAGAGCCACGGGTCTGGGGAACTATACCTGGAGAGCCACGGCTCTGGGGGTGGGGGCACACTTGGAGAGCCAGGGCTTTGGAGACCACACCTGGAGAGCCACAGATCCAGAGGACCACAGTTGGAGAGCCTCGGGTCTAGGGACTACACCTGGAGAGCCATAGCTCTGGGGACCATACATGGAGAGCCACAGGTCCACAGACCACGCCTGGAGAGCCAGGATCTGGGGCCCGAATGTGGGACTGTAGTCCCAGCGAAACCTGGTCTCAGTGGATTGACTAAGGTCAATTCTCACTCATGCCAAGGTCCAGTGTGGCTGAATGTTCCCCATCCTTCTTTCCAGCATGGCACTTGAAACGTGGCCTCCAAGGTTGCTCGAGAAAAGGAAGGAGAAGTGGCAGGAGAGGTAACAGGAGGTGCCCAGAGCGGGCCACAGCTGGGCACAGGGCCTTGGATCTGCAGGGGGCTGGCAAGGCACAGGCGTGTGATGTTTAGGGAGCACCAACAATCTCTACTGAAACCCTGATACCATGGAGGCGTGACTGCCAGTGGTGGAGATGTAAGACTGGATTTCATGCCCTTTTAAAAAAATGGTATTTTCTGTTTGGCACAGTGAGTAAATGTTATTTTGCTTTCTTAAAAAAAATCTAAAAAGTTTGTTTCGGAATAACACACTACAAAGACATTTGTATTAAAACGAAAGTCCTTTTGCTAGGATTTTTGTGGAAGATCATCAAACAGTATAGAATTTCTTTCTAAAAGGACTCACAGATTTTCTGAGTGGGATTTAAGTAACATAATTACCAGGTCTTTCTAAGAAACATTCTCGATTTTCTTTGGGCCAATTAAGCATTAGTTCAACCTTCCACAGTGAGGAGAGTGGCTTTCTAACCTGTCGTATTGTCCCCCAGAGAAGCCACTATTCCCTGCCCTCTGCTGAAATCCCCCTTCTTTTTTAAATTTATTTATTTTTTGAGATGGAGTCTTGCTCTGATGCCCAGGCTGGGCTGCAGTGGTGCAATCTTGGCTCACTGCAACTTCCAAGTGATTCTCCTGCCTCAGTCTCCTGAGTAGCTGGGATTACAGCTGAGAGGGGGTTTTACCATGTTGGCCAGGCTGGTCTCAAACTCCTGATCTCAGATGATCTACCTGCCTTGGCCTCCCAAAGTGCTGGGACTATAGGCATGAGCCACCGCCCCCGGCCAAGATCCTGCTTCTTGCTGGGTGGGAGGCTGGGCCGGAGGGTGCAGTTCAGAAGCGTCTGGGCCCCGACGGAGGCGAAGCACAGCTTCGTGGCTTTGTGCCACGGTTTCCCTCCTTGTGGCTTCCCGAGCCTGCGGTGCCACCCTCCCCAGGGAAGGAACAGAGGCAGGACGGGCAGAAAGGAGCCACAGCGCTTGTCTCCGGGCTCCGCAGCTGGTTCCTGGAGACGCTGCAGAGTGCATGGAGCAGGTGCAGGCCCGGCCGCAGCCTGTGGACCTGGCCGACAGCAAAGGCGTCAGTGAGCAGGGGCTGCAGCGTTTCCCGGGTGGGGGACACAGGCACTGCAGAAGCCCCTGGTCCGGAGGAGCCGGACCTGCCCCAGGCCGCCCAGGAAGCTCTGGACGCGCGGGGCATTTCCCCTCCACAGAGGAGTTCCAAATCCCCGTTACATTCTCAGGGATCCGTCCTCCTACCCCGGCAACCCAGGAGTCGTGTTCCTCACGCTGGCCCTTTGGGAAGAGAAAACCTGAGTCCCAGCAGGAGCTTGCTTTGAGCCGTGAGCAGGGCCTGGAAGGACCCTTGCTCTGCACCTGTCCCTTCCTGTCCACAGGCCTCCCCTCTCTCTACCTGCCCGAAAGCCGATCCTGCCAAGCAGCCGGTTGTGCTTTTCCTGCGTCCTGTCTTAGTGCAAATGGTGATGGTGCGTGGGAGTCCCTGTCCCGTTCCAGGTGTGTCTGGGGCCACCGGGGCGGCCCTGAGGGAGACAGCGTGCATCAGCCACAGTCTTGCAGCCCTGGCAGACGTCCTGGGAACCTCGTTGGAGCACCGCGGCCACGTCCCATACCGGAACAGCAGACCCACCCACCTCCTTCAGGACTGCCTCCTTAACGATTTCCCCAAAATGCCCCAGAATGGGGACCCCGTACCCCAGAATACGTGCACACACGTCCAGCCTGTGTGTCCTCGAGGGCCACCCGTGCTCCCCTGCTCCTCCCATCCCCTCCCCTCCCACGGCACGGGTGGTCCTTCTCCTGCGCCGTCACGCCTCGGTCTAGTTGCTCGCTTGTTCGGTCTGTGTGTGACTTGCCTCACTGTGGGGGGTCAGTGTCTCAAGGGTGGCAGCTCTGGCCTCTCTCTTCACCAGGGGGTCCCCCAGGGTGGCTGAGGATCTCCAGGCTGCTGCTGCGCACGTGGCCTGGGGCCCTCCAGCTGGGTGGACCTGCTCAGGCCACCAGTTCCTCCCGTCTTTTGGGGGCAGGTGCCAGAGCCCGGACGCAGCAGATGAAGTGCCAATGCCGGGTGGGGCACGGGTGGCCCCTGTGGGGAGACACCCAGCTGCAGCCAGATCTGCACTTGGCGGTCTAGGGGAGCTCAGTTAGTGCCCCTTCCCCCACTCAGACTCTGGACTGCTTGAAAGGGAGGACTCACTTGAGGAAGCATCGCTGCTGCAGAGTGGCCTCTGTTGGGGCCGGGCTTCCTGATGCTGAGGGTCCAGGCAGAGTCTCCCAGAGGCGGCCCTGGGCCCTGCAGACCCTGCCCGGAGAAAGGCCATGGCAGGATGGCAGGGGTGGCAGGGGCATGTGGCCACCACAGCGGGGGCTCCTCTTTCCTGGAAGGGCCGCCCTGGGAGGCGGTGGAGGGGCTGCTGGTGCTTGGGACTCAGGGGGTCGGAATGGTCCGGGCACTCCCTGTCTCTCGTTGTGGGGTGTTTCCCCTGTCATGGCCAACTGGCTTCCTCCACATGGTGAATAGCGGGGCTGTTCGCTGGGTCACATGTTTCGATTCTGCCTCTAAGAGACCATGTGGCACTCTTGAATTCCAAAGCTCATAGTCCCCACAGAGAGACCGGGTGGCCTGGGCCGGGTGTGCAGCCCTCCCATGAGCTCAGAGGTGGCACTGTGGGGCACACAGTGCCCCGAGAGCCAGCAGGTCCCTCGTGGAGCCTGGGCCCCGGCCTCTGGGGTCAGCACTGCCCCTCTTAGCTCTCCCTGCCTTCTCTGTTGTTTATGGTTCCCATCTGTACTGGTTAACCCTCACTACTGGTCCTGAAAACTGCAAGAGACAGAATTCCCCCAGGAGGACAAGTCCCGGGATCATGACTCCTGCCAGTGGGACCCGAGGGAGCTGCAGAGCCGTGGGCAGTGAGCAGCCAGCATGGGCACAAGGGAGGTTTGGAAAGAGCAGCCCTGGGGGGCCGAGAGCGCGCTGCATGGTGACTGTCAGACTCACTGTAAGGCTGATTTGTCACCCCTGTAATTCCCAGGACACAGGAGGGAGAGGAGGAGGCCTGCGGCTTCCCCAGGTGAAGGGTACCAGTGATCAGAGGCTGACCCGCCCGGACCCGGTGTCCCAGGGGCTGGCAAGACGAGGCCACCTTCCCACTCGGGCGCCGGGTGGCCCCTCTCTGCAGCCGCCCATCCCAGGCCCCGGTTGCTAGCATTTGGGCACTTCAAGATGCCGCTCTTTTTTCTGGCTTGCATGTGGTTCTTTTTGTTTAAAAGAGGCGATGCGAAACTGCTGGTGATTCTGTGTGTGTCTCCCAGCCAGAGGCACCTGGCGCAGCGGCTGCGGGGCTTGCAGAGGCTGTGGGGACTGTCCTTTGGAACCCGTGCTCAGCGAGTGCAGCGAGGCCCAGCCAGAAAGAGGCAGCCCAGCTCCCGGCGGAGGGGAAGATGTGGCCGGATTGAACGCATCAACGAGCTTTCCTCTCTAAAAATGTGTTTCTTGTCATTGCTTTACAATGCATATGTGCACAGAAATGAACAGGTTTGATGTGGACCCCAGACACCTGGTTTTATTGCAGAGCGCCCTCACGAACGTGGATGGGACCCCTCACCAGACCAGCAGGCGGGGGAGGTTCACAGATAGAGACCAGTGGGTGGGGCAGGTTCACAGATAGAGACCAGTGGGCAGGGCAGGTTCACAGATGGGAGACCAGTGGGCAGGGCAGGTTCACAGAGAAGCTCCTTGCAGGGCGTGGCCGTGAGGGGTCAGGGCAGCCACTCACTGTCCTCACTGGACTCTTCCCAGAGGCCGCCCCGGGCCCCAAAGGCCCTGCCTTGGGAAAGGCGGGAGGCGGCAGAAATGATGTGGGCAGGAGGGCAGGGGTGGGAGTACCTCACAGTGGGGGCTCGTCTTCCTGGTGGCGCTGGTCAGCCTGGGCCCCATGCGGATGCCCCTGTGACCTCTGGGGAGGCACCGCTGGGCATGTATGGCCCCAGAGCCACCAGGCCTCACTCAGAGTTGCCGCCTCTGCCTCCTGGAGTTGGACCCCTTCCTTCCCCCTCCCCCGCTCCCTCTTTCTTCACCACTGTTTCTGGTTGTCCGCCACAGTCGGCATGAGGAGCTGTGGCAGGGAGGGAGGGGCGTCAGGGCCAGCCTCACACCTGTCGGAAGGCCCCAGGATTCCCAGCACAGGCTCTGGGACCAAGCGGACTGGCTTCCCTGGTGGCTCTGCCACCACCCGTTCTGCGTCTCCTGATGGTTTGCTTGGTCTCTGAAGCCCAGCTTCCCCCTCTGCAAGACCAGGTGAGACCGGAGGGATCTCAGCCATAAAGGAGACAGAACAGCTATGGGGACTGGCCTGTGGCTTGCCTGCCTTGGGGCTGGGCTGGCAAGTTGAAGCCGCACTCCGCCACGGGGCCCCTCTCCACCTCACAGGGGGATGGAGGTGAAGACAGCTGCCCACCGCTTCCTCTGCTGGAAGGATGGCCGCTGGGGCTGCCCCATCTCCATTGGGCCCACGGTGACAGATGTGCCCTCTTGGACCTGGTGGGGACAAGAGCAGGGTCCCAGGAGGAACGTATGTGTGGAGGGATGGGGGGCCACAGGCACAGACTGAGAAGAACACTCCACTTCCTATCAGCAATCACTCTGGCTCTGAGGAGGAGGCTGGGAAGCAGGTTTTGGAGCGAAGTCACAGCTGGTGGCTTTCGTAGCACAGGTGGTTTCACTGCCAGGAAAATGTTTTTTGACTCCCTCCTCCAGATGGGAGAGGGAGGGAAAATGTCTTTTCTAGTAGTTATCACACACCAAGCAAACCCGTGCCCACGTGTAGCTCAGGTGAGGAGCGTGAGCTGCCGTGGACTGACTCATGAGGGGCAAAAGGGCAGGAGCCTCGTCCCTTCCTGGAAGCCCGGAGCAAGGCATGGGGACGGGGGGGCGCTGCTCAGGGCCCAGTGTGCTAATGGCCTTTCCCTGTACTCCTTTTCCCAGGGTGGAGCGTTCTGTCCCACTGGGCATGGGGACCAGGCGGCCAGGGAAGGCAGGTGCATGGGCGTCATGCACTGAAGACAGAGATTGCCCAGCCAGGAAAGGGCTCAGGCAAACAGCGGGGCTGACAGCAGGGGCACCAGCTTCAACTCATGGCTTTTAATATAATCGGGGAGGGAGATGGAAGATGATAGATGAATCAGTAAGCAGATACACATCCTGGACCCATGGATGACAGACAAACTCAGCAGCAGATGGATCAGATTTAAGCTCATATATCAAAAATATGATCATTTCAATGTGTAATCAATGTGAACTCAATCTGAAGACATGGATGAGATATTGTGGAGTCTGTCACAGTAAGTCTTCGGAATCGGTGTGCTTTCCCGCTGACTGACAGTGCCCTCAGCACAGGCTGGCTGCAAGAGTGGGGGCCGCCGGTGAGCAGCCTCCAGCCCCGTGCTGAACCCCACAGACAAACACCTCCACTTCCTAACAACAATTTTTAAGGATCCCTTGATTATCCTGAAGTGAAATTACATTACACATGGATTATATAATCTACCAGACAGAGCACACTTTTTAAAAAATATAATCAATATAATGATGTAACTATAATATAATGGAGGAATAGAATAGGCCAGGCGCAGTGGCTCACACCTGTAATTCCAATACTTTGGGAGGCCGAGGCAGGTGGATCATTTGAGGTCAGGAGTTTGAGACCAGCCTGGCCAAGAAGGTGAAACACTATCTCTACTGAAAATACAAACATTAGCCGAGTGTGCTGGCACCTGTTATCCCAGCTAGTCAGGAGGCTGAGGCAGGAAGGTGGAGGTTGCAGTGAGCCGAGATTGTGCCAGTGCACTCCAGCCTGGGTGATAGAGGGAGCCGCGGTCTCAAACAAACAAACAAACAAATAAATAAATAAATAAAAAGTACACTGGAGAAATAAAGGGAATCTTTTTCTCTGTGTATATATACATATGTATATTTCAATTTGTAAAACTTTCAAAACAGCTATACCTGCACACACAGTGAAATAAATGAGCTTGGGTATAAGAAGTAAGACAACATTCAATTTATGTATATTCAACAATTTAGAAATCAGGGTCAAGCGGCTGTATCTGTGTGTGTGCATGCACGTGCATGTAAAATCCACGAATGTGGCTGCTACAAACAGCAGACGGACAGGGAAGCGTCACATCTGTGACTCGAATGTCACGAGCGATACAACTTTGTAAATGCTGAAAACCTCCTGGGAACGTCACAGAGTGTTAGCTGTTCCACTGTTGCATTTCTGACACGTAGTGTACATAAAGCTGCAGAAGTAATTCTTCATGATTTCATGGAGAGCAGAGTGAGGGTTCAGGCCTGGACCGCCGAAGGCAGGATTTCCACCTGTCAACTGCTGGTGTGGGCTAAAGCCACGTGGCCCTCGGGACAGTATTTACCTTGTGGGCGAGTCCTGTGCCTGGCTGGGGACCTGGTGTCCTTGGTGCCCATCTGCTCAATATCACTTGTGTCCTCTCATCATTGTGACGACCTGAAAGATCCCACGGGTTCTGAGAGGCTCCCTCAGTACCCCACATAAATCAGCCTTCTTTTCTGGGTTGGCCCTTAAGCAGGCAGAGGCTCCCTGCTCAGGAAGCCCCTCAGCTGCTCACAAGGCGTGAAGTTCCTTTAACAGGAGAGAGACTTCGGCGCACAAGTGAGGCGGCCGCCCTGGTGAGATGGAACCCTCTCCGAGGGGCCCACACCGAGCAGCAGCGCTGAGAACCGCGGCCCGGCCTCGCGGTCCTCCTCCTGACCTCGGCAGGGCCGGAGCGGCTGCCATGCCGTGACCTAAGGGAAGCCTGGCTGAGCCGCGTGACACTCACCAAGCCTTCTTCATGCGTCTGGTGAAGTTCCTCTCTGAGTGAGGCTGGCCTTGCAATGACCAAGCTGCCTTCGTAGAGGGTGGATGGACGCTCACCTCACAGCCGCCTGGGGACCACAGTGGGGCCCCTGAGATGTGCCCCGCATTGTGAAGACATGTCGATGTCAGAGGTGTGAGTGACTCAGGACCCTGCCGGTGCCACGGCCGAGAGCAGGGCGTGTGTGCAGACACTCGAAATTGGGGCAGTGGGCGGGAGGGGTGCTTGGCCCCAGACACCGGACCCCACCCATGCCACCCTGACGCCCCCACGCTGCAGACTGGGCCCCTCTGCGCCATCACAGGGCATGCAGCTGAGCCCTCGCTTCCCAGGCTCTGTCCCCTCTCACTCCCAACTCCCCTTTTTCTAGAAGGAAGGCTGGGTCCAGTCTTCAGCCTGCTCCACTCAGCCACACCCAAAGTGGCAGAGTTCAGACCACACACCTGGCTGCAAACCAGCCCAGCCTCCAGGGTGTGGGGCTCCAGGCACTCACCCCACCGCTGGCCACCACCCATGATTTTGATGGCCACCACCGTGGTACAGATGCGCTGGCTCTAAGAAGGGAACGGGGGGGGGAAAGATCCAGGAAACAGAAAAAACCAAAACTAGTCAGTGACTGGAACTCACAGGCGTTCTGTCAACGAACAGCTCTGCTCTGGGGTGAGTATCTTCACGTTCATGAGCTGCTTCCTCCTGGCTCTGGCCCTTGGAGGTGTTCAGGATCAACCCACTGAAAGGCAAGGACGCTGGGGCTGTGGAAGGCGGCGTGCTCACCGACACGAGCTCACCAGTGTGCCTACCGACGCAGTGCTGTGGGCGGGTGGGAAGGAGCGTCTGCCCCTCGGTCATGGCACAGCTTCTCTCACAAAAGTGGACCTTTGGAGGGCAGTCCCAGTGCCACAGAGAAATGTGTCTCCAAACACACTCGTGGCTTCTGCAAATGGCACCAGCCAGGCCTCCTGGGTGCTGACCTAGGGCACAATTGTTTGTGCATGAAAGCCGCCTTATGGGGTGAGCGCCTGAATCTGAGGTTGTGTTCCCAGGGCTGACATGTCTGTGGGACTCACAGCCAGATGGGGCATGCCTGAAGGGGCACCGTGAACCTGGATATCCCACCCCTTCCCTCCCTCAGGCCCCGGGCAGGCTCAGGAGAGGAGAGGAGGAAGGGAAGGAGCCCAGGCCCCAGGGCTGGCGCAGCTCCAAATGTGGTTTCATCCGGAGGACGCTGCAAGCCTAGAATGAAACACCCTGCCCTCTTCCACTTGCAGGGGTCAGAGGCCACTGGTTTTGAAGACATTTGCAGTGATCTGTGGGAAGAAACACTCAGCAGGGGTTTAGGTGGCATGTGGAGGCCACGGGAGCACAGCCACACAGACAGGAGGGAGCGAAGGTGCCACAGCCACCCAGGATGCGGGAGCTGCCACAGGCGTCTCTTAGAGTGGAACGACGGGGCCTGGCCCCATCTCAGGGTCCTGGGGGGGCCTCCTTTAGGGGCAGCCTCTGAAACAGTGGCGATGGGGGTGTCGAAGTGTCCGGCCGTGCGGGACCGTGTGTTCTGTACTATAATCACCCTATGAGGGATGCACACTGCGTCCTGGAGCGCCCAGACACTGGCCCCGGGCCTGCTGGCATTTGCCGGGGGCTCCT